AGTCATTAATTATTCATGTGAATGAGCCACACCCACTTGTTGTCCAAGATTGTAGAGCATTCTTGTGCTAACAGCAGTAGTGTGAGTCCGGAGAATGTTCTTCTGAGCTTCCAGTCATATTGATAACTATTATTAGGATAGAGGGAGGGATAGAGAAGAAATAATCAATAAAAATAAACCTAACTGAAATGAAAATGTAAATGTAGTTACTGTAAATCTGGTGATGGTAATTTTCGCTATTAATATATTGGACTAAATAGGCAGCATATAAAATTTTCCAACACCTAAATTTTCCATTTTATAGCCATTGAAAATAACAAGATTTACAGTAATCAAACTACATATGTATATACAGTACACAAGCATACACCTGTACATGTATGTGTGTAGCAGGTTATTTTGGAGGAACAAAAATTTGCCAAATTTCTAAGATGGACTAAAATGGGCCAGCCAACACTGTACTTTAAAATCAGCACAAACAAGAACATAAAAATTAAAAAAAACAAGATTGAGTAGGATTCTAGAACAAGTTTGTAAAAAAGTAATGGAAACAAGAACGAGTAGGATTCCGAACGACCAACGACAATATGAAATGAAAACCCTACTCTCGAGACACAAATTCTATTCTACATTGTACTTTTAATGCTATTATTTAAGAATTATGGATCACCCTGCAAATGTCTTAGTTACGGTATACGCCCATGTACAATAATTGGCCGCCATGTTTTACATCAAGCAGCAAGTGTTTTCTGTGTCCTGGAGATCCTAGTCACTACACTTTGAAGAAAGCCCACCTAGGAAGTATAGTGCAATACTTTTGTTGTACGAGCCTGCTTTCCTCTTTGGGCTGTAACAGACTTTTTAAGTCTTCAAAATATCTTGATATAGTAAAGAACAGTTGATAGGAAGCCTCTCATTGTCCTGAGTTGAGCACAAAAATACTTTTTCGGCAAAGAAGCTCTACTTTGCACATTAGCCATTAGCAGGGGCGGATCTAGGGGGGGTTTGTGGGGTTGCACCCCCCCCAAAACATTCTAACTCAAAAAATTTTTAATGTTTTTATTGTTGCAACAGTGGTGAAAGTGCTAACCACCTAGTTTATATAGCAACATTACTGTGGTTAATGAATATAATTAACAAAGAATGAGCTCTAAAAATGGTAGAAAAGTTTATTTTCCCGTGATTTTAACCACAAAATAGCGCCGAAAAGGGGCTTGGCCAAAATTTCGGCGCACTTCGCGCGCCATTTTTTTCTCAACCCCTCCATTTGCAAAATCCTGGATCCGCCCCTGATTAGAACTATGCATAATTTTGACCTAAAACATGGCGGATGAAAACCCATTCTGTATTATTTCGTTGTATATAGAATAAATATACAGTATCACAAACTAATTCTCGCTCAAAGGGGTCTATACCTGTAGCCAGAAAATGCAAGGTTATAGCTAGTTGTTCTCCAGGTGATATGGCTTGCCTCATTACTGAATTTCTATATGTAATTTTGGGAGCAACAATACGTAGTAGTTCTTCAAATGTGGCAGCATTCATCCCAATAAAGCTCTGATAACTGGAGGCATCCATTAGCTCAAGTTCCTTAGCAAATGTTTATATGTGTCTTGGACATCACAATTCAGAATCCACTTGCGTGTCCATACTACACATCTGTTTTTTTTCTTTCTCTTTTGCTTCTTTCTCAAAACTGCAACTAACAAAACAGCTGAAGCAGCCAGTAATCTACTTTTAGCTGCCATGTTTTACCAAACACACCTCTGACACACCCATATCACACACCAATATCTATACATTACCTTCAAACTGGTGCCTTGTGTATGATGGTTATTGCTCACAGCAATATTGTATGTAATTTTTGCTGGCAATACATTGCTTGCAAAACATTAAGTTAAGTTAATAAGTTACACACAGATAAAAATTAATAACAAAAATTAAACAAAAGTAGATACATACTCCACACTCTACAGCAAATTAAACATGTACTATAAATAATTAACATCAGCAAACAGCATGTATACATGAACAGCAAACACAAGTAAAGAGAAGAGGACAGCGTGAGACTAGAACACTCTTGATCTCAGGCCTGAAGTATGACTGGATAATAGGACTGGCTATTGTAACAAAGGAAAAAACAATGCGGTTTGTAATAAAAAACTCATATGATAGAAAAATGAAGATCCGTAAAAGGAAGCCTAAAGCTACTACTAAATAACCTGTTCCATAGATGAGTAGCATGCTTCCAAATATTCCAAAAAGTCTCTTCTTCTTTGAGGCATACACACTCTCTCCTGCTATCACTGACTGAGCTTTGAAGGTGAAACAAAAAGTCCAAAGAGAAGTGATGAATATTGTTCCAACAACGAGGAAGATTATAACAAGAATTATAAAAATGGCTGCAAGGTCAACACCAATTAGAGTACAATAACCTAACTCAGCACTATAGCTGTAGTGTCCAATGTCAATGAACGGCCCAGTACTTAATACAGCAGACAGTATCCATATAGCAATGTTGAGGGTCAGTGCTACCCAGGGTCTCATGAACCGCTTGTGAAGATGTGGTTTGACAATAAAGAGAAACCGATCAAATGATATAGCAGCTAGTGTGAATGATAATACACATAATACAGACCAGAGCATCCAGGCAGCAAAGGTACATGTTCCTGTCTTCTCCTCATCTGTACTACCAAAGATCCACTCACCAGCAGCTAATGGAATCATAGTGAAAGGAAGGTTTAGTAGATTTAATACAAGATGTGCCAGTATGAGAGAAGTGAAGAATATTGTTGATGATTGTTTTAAGGACTTCCACTGATAGAGTGTGATAGATAGTACCACACCATTAGCTATCAGAGCTAGTATCATCTCAACAGTAAGAACTGCTGCTACTGCTGGACCACTGAACTCACCAGTAAAAGTAAAGTTGCCTTCCATTGCTAACCACATTGTTAATTTTAAGGAACTTACATGTAGTTTCCCATCACACTTTATATAGACAATAGTGTACATTATTCATTCTTTGCCAAAATCAATTTGTATACTTAATGGACCATTATATGTAAATTAATGACTACCAAATTAGTAAACTAATTAGTAACTATCTTCATGGTGTGAGATCACACCTTAATAACATGCAAAAGTAGATTGTTACCCATGTACATGTACATGTATGTATATCATGCCGCATTTCAATTGACAAATCAGAACACTCAACAGGTGGTTATCATGCAGTATACATGTACATTGTAGATGCACATGTAGTATTTACATGTAATTGTATTATCAATACTTACCCATTTTACTAAAGAAAGCATACAGAACTCCCATATTGATAACTATTATTAGGATAGAGGGAGGGATAGAGAAGAAAAAAACAATAAAAAGAAACTTATCATAAATGTAAATCATAATAGTTAAACCAAACGATATAGTGCACAAGCTACATGTAAATTATTCTAAACACACATATATATGTACACATGTACATGTGTAGCACGATATTTTAGAGGGGAAGAAATTTGGCAAATTACATATATTCTATTACCAAGAATAGCCACATACATGCATCACTGAAGGTGTGTATCAATGAAAGATCACACTACAGGAAAATGCACACACAAACAGTTCCTACCCTATTGATCCATGTCCTCCTGTCTGGTGCATGGTCTTCACTCTCTCTAAATATTCGGTAGGGAAATCATAAGTAAACTAAGTATCTAGAAATGATTTTGTAATTAAGGGAACATTAAACAAAAAATTATTTCTGCTTTACCTTTTAAAAAGAATGTGTCATGAGCATCACGGGCAGGGTGCTGCTGAGGCTGAAAAAGAGCATCAAAATTCCAAAAGGAGCTCTCAATGAAATTATCTGTAAGCATTTTACAAAATCTAAAAATGAAACATACCATTCCATCATCTATACATAGTAACAAATAACAAATAAGTACCAGTAATGATGCATGTACATATACATTAGTGCAAGTAACCCCCCCCCCCAATAGTAAGTAGAAAGCTTGGGCTGATTCTGATAACAACAAAGCTAGCAAATTTCTGAAAATCTATCAACTATAGTCCATAATTTTTTAAAAAACACTCTGAAGTGTCTCCTCCATGAAAACACACTCCCTCCTGATATCAGTGATCAATCAATAGTATAGCTACATGTAGCACACAGTGTCCACATTGAGGTCACTACCATTATTGAAATTATGATGAACGCTACTACTATAAAAAGGTATGCTTCGTTCCAGCTCCATGAGATTAAAGTGCACAAATTAGAACTATACTCTTGTTTTAATGTAAAGAAAGGAAGGATAGCAGACAGTATCCATATAGCAATGGTGAGGGTCAGTGCTACCCAGGGTTTCATGAACCGCTTGTGAAGATGTGTTTTGACAATAAAGAGAAACTGATCAAATGATATAGCAGCTAGTGTCATGGTGATTACAGCTACAACGTACCAGTATAAGTAAAAAACAAAGGTACATGTCCCTGTCTTCTCCTTATCTGTAATACCAAAAATCCACTCACCAGCAGCTAATGCAATGATAGTAAAAGGAAGGTACAGTAGATTCAATACAAGATGTGCCAGTATGAGAGAAGTGAAGAATATTGTTGATGGTTGTTTCTAGGACTTCCACTGATAGAGTGTGATAGATAGTACCACACCATTAGCTATCAGAGCTAGTATCATCTCAACAATAAGAACTGCTGCTACTGCTGGATCACTGAACTCACCAGTAAAAGTAAAGTTGCCTTCCATTTTAGAGAAGAGCACCCAAAATTGTTACAAATTCTCTTAACAAAATTATATAAAGCAAGTAAGGACTATAAACAAGACTTATAGTAACAGCTATATCCTTTATAAAGGTACTAATAGCAGTAGATCAAATCTAAATAACAATGAAAATGATACAAGGGAATAAGTTATACACACACCGAGAAGTTATTAACATATAACAACAACATTACATAATACTCAACATACAATGTACATGTACTACATCAAATTATATTGTAAATAATTGACATCAGCAAACAGCATGTACACATGAACAGCAAACACAAGTAAAGAGAAGAGGACAGCGTGAGACTAGAACACTCTTGATCTCAGGCCTGAAGTATGACTGGATAATAGGACTGGCTACAGTAATAAAAAAATAAACAATGTAGGCTGTTACAAAAAATTCATACGGTAGAAAAATGAAGATATGCAGAAGGGCGCATAAAGCTACAAGTAAATACGATATCCCATAGAGTATTACAATGCTTCCAAATATTCCAATAAGTCTCTTCTTTTTTGAGGCATACACATTCTCTCCTGCTATCACTGACTGAGCTTTGAAGTAGCTTCTAGTGAAACAAAAGGTCCAAAGAGAAGTGACAAATATTTTTCCAACAACGAGGAAGACTACAACAAGAATTACAAGAAAGGCTGCAATGTCAACACCAATTACAGTACAATAACCTATTTCAGCACCATAGCTGTAGTGTCCAATACCAATGAATGGCAAGGAACCAAATACAACAGACAGTATCCATATAGCAATGGTGAGGGCCAGTGCTACCCAGGGTCTCATGAACCGCTTGTGAAGATATGGTTTGACAATAAAGAGAAACCGATCAAATGATATAGCAGCTAGTGTCATTGAGATAACAGGAGCTCCAAACCAAAGTATAAAGGCAGCAAAAATACATGTCCCTCTCTTCTCCTCATCTGTACTACCAAAGATCCACTCACCAGCAGCTAATGCAATGATAGTGAAAGGAAGGTACAGTAGATTCAATAAAAGATGTGCCAGTATCAGAGAAGTGAAGAATATTGTTGAAGATTGTTTCCAGGAATTCCTTTGATAGAGTGTAATAGATAGTACCACACCATTAGCTATCAGAGCTAGTATCATCTCAACAGTAAGAACTGCTGCTACTGCTGGACCACTGAACTCACCAGTAAAAGTAAAGTTGCCTTCCATTTCATAGAAAAGCACCCAAATTTGTCACAAATTCTCTTTGCAAAGGTGTATAAAGCAAGTAAGGACCGTATGCTATATTTATAGCTTTTACAGCTATATCATTTATCTTAAAATTACAATGAAAATGATATAAGAGAATAAGTTAGACACAACACAGCAAAAATTAAACAAAATTACAAAATACTTAATATGCTACAGCAAATTATAAATAATTGACATCAGCAAACAGCATGTACACATGAACAGCAAACACAAGTAAAGAGAAGAGGACAGCATGAGACTAGAACACTCTTGATCTCAGGCCTGAAGTATGACTGGATAACAGGACTGGCTATTGTAACAAAGAAAAAAAATGTAGTTTGTAATAGAAAGCTTATATGGTAGAAAAATGAAGATCTGCAGAAAGAAGGATAAAGTTTCCATTAAATAATATGTCCCATAAACGAGTAGCATGCTTCCAAATATTTGAGGCATACACACTCTCTCCTGCTATCACTGACTGATCCTTGAAGAAGCTTCTAGCGAAACAAAAAGGTCCATAATGATGTTACAATGATAATTGCAGTTGTAACACACGGAAAAAAAACAAAAAAGATAAAGAAACTCTATAGTGCCGTGAGGACACTGGTGGCATAAAGGAACTGATCATCATAAACATATTGATTTAATTTTTAGAATGGAGCAAAACTATATACAGCAGACAGTATCCATATAGCAATGGTGAGAGTCAGTGCTACCCAAGGTCTCATGAACTGCTTGTGAAGATGTGGTTTGGCAATAAAGAGAAACCGATGAAATGATATAGCAGCTAGTGTCATAAAAATGACAGGTATGGTAAATGAATATAAGAAGGCAGCAAAGTGACATGTCCCTCTCTTCTCCTCATCTGTACTACCAAAGATCCACTCACCAGCAGCTAATGCAATGATAGTGAAAGGAAGGTACAGTAGATTTAATACAAGATGTGCCAGTATGAGAGAAGTAAAGAATATTGTTGATGATTGTTTCCAGGACTTCTTTTGATAGAGTGTGATAGACAGTACCACACCATTAGGCCACTCCAATTAGATTTGTGGTTTCCCGTTTCCCGCCCGCATACGCCACTTCAATTTTTTCGTTATTCCTTTATTTTTTGTTATATTCAATATCAATTTTAAATTGTACTTTGAACAGTCAACAGTGTGAGTGGAAATTGTTTTCTGGTGAAACTATTGCCGAAAACTACAACCAAGTCTATAAATGATTCAGGTTGGGTCATTGATATCACTGTAATTATACTCCTGGATTCTCTCTGGCTGTTTCCTCCCACTGTTGAGCTCACGTGCTTCCAATAAGTTACCACTCATCAAGAGTACCATTTATCTCAAAACTTATAGTTACCAGAGCTCTTTATCTCCCCTCACTCTTCCTACTTCATGCCCTTTCTTGTATCATAAACCAGGCTACACATATCCCCACTAGCTCTCTGACTGTTGTATTGTCAACCTTTTCAGTATATGAGACTTCTCACTCTTGATGTGCCTCTAATATTGTTGATCAATCAGAATTTATCAGTATCGTGTCATCACTGGACTAGTCACATCAACTCATCAATATTCATTGAACTCTGTCTCTCCCTTAAGTGTTGAAGCTTTATCTCTTTCTTTATTCTCTATTTCTCATCGTATCAATCTGTCACCATCTGATACTGAATTATTACATTATGTCTTCACTGCACCTTGTTAATATAACTGTGGCTGTTAGATCATCATTTAAAATTCTGCTTCCTTGGACTATTCTTCATGCACCAAAAGAAGAAGACACTATTAGAGATTTCTTTCCAACTCCTT